CTGGCGAGAAGGGCAGCCTGCCCGAGGGCGGACCTGAGAGCTTGGCAGGCCTACAGGAGTCCATCGAGTGATCTCGAGAGCCTCGGGAGGCTTGGTGTTTTCGAGGGCACTGGGGGCACAGGCTGTGGTGGGCCCAAGTCTTTGAATGCAGGGAACAGCGCCCTGTGGACTCCCTCCTCATCTGTTCCCACTCTGGGGCGTATGCCCGAGGCTCTAACAAGAGGCCCGCGAGGGGGGGGGTCCATGGGCAGTGTCAAGGCAGGCCCTCGAAAGGGCACTGCGCTCGTGCAGAGGTTGTTTGGCAGGGGCGTGTTCCCAGGTACAGCACGTCCTTGGTGCTGCGCGGAAGGCCCCCCCCCCCCCCCCACGCTCGGCGTTCGAAGCGAGTGGTCCTGGGCCCTCTCCCCCTCGGACACCCCTGCCCCCTCCCTAGGGCCTCTGCGGGACTCCATGGACTCCAGGCCGTTGGATGTTGAGCTGGGGTCGAGCAGTTTCGGTCTTTCGTGGGATGAGGCAGCCTCGCTGGGGCAGGCCGCCCGAGACAGGAACGCGGCGGCCGCTTCGGCCAGAGCGCGAGGGGTGCAAGCCGCCGACTCCCCCCTTTTAAAGGGTCGCTCCCCCTTTTCCCGAACTTGTGGGGTCGCCCCCCATTAACAGCTAAGTTTGCGCCTCCTCTTCCTTCTCCTCCTCCTCCTCCTCGTCCTCCTCCTCCTCCTCCTCCTCCTCCTCTTCGTCCTCCTCCTCCTCCTCCCCCTCGGTCGGTCGGTCGGTCGGTGCATAAGGGAATGAGTTTGAATTTCAACCGAAAGTGAGACGAGAAGGGGCAAATGAGGGGGATTTGAACACCCAGGGGGGGGGAAAGCAGCGTAGAACCGACCTTCCACTTAAGCACTGCGAGAGCAGGTGTCGCTCACACCATTATCTCTTCGAGGGAGCGAGATGGTACCCTAACGAACGTAATCACGACCCTGCTGGAAATCGAAGAAAGCGTTCAGGGGTATGAAGATAGGCGCCACATTCTCGTCTATCTCGAGGGGGGCGACCCAGACTCCTGAAACTGATATTGAACGGAAACAAGCGTGGACTGAGCAACAAAAACGATACAGGTGGGAAGGGTACGTCTTGGCCGCCGCGGTATTCCACCCCCCAGTGGCACTCCCTCCTTCCAGGACGGACGTGGGCTCTGTGTTGGCACCTGCCATGATGGGGCATCTCCCTCAGCATTTGTGCCATCATGGGCACGTTGATCCCTACGAATGACGTGGGGTGTTTGGCCGGGAGTCCAAACACTGGTCGATCCTGAATAGACGGGCCCTTGGCACACGGGCAAAACTCGCAAGAATCGGCAGATGCCAATGGCGCGGGACATTATCACGATTTTCCGCTTGAGCAGGATGCTCCATGATAGCCGGCAATCCGAGCCTCCAAGCGGCCACTCAGAATTCGATCGTTGTGCGTAGCAGGGCATTCCCCACATCAACCTGAGCCTGCTCCTTCGGTGTTACGAAACGGAGTCCCCGTAACAGTTCTGGCGACCGCAAGGGTCGTGGATGGCGTCCAAGGCCATCCTCTGGTAACTCAGTGTGGCGAGCAGCACTCCACGTCTCACATGCGGGTCCCGCAATCGCCCCAGCCACCCACCCTTCAGCCATGAGGCGTAGACAGAAGGAGACAATCTCAGGCGTAGACATGTCACCGTAAGTAGGAGAATGCACGACACTGACCGATAGGACAATGACCGGGACGTGGTGTTGAGCGACAAGTCTCTCGATCCACTCCTGAACATCCCCCTTGCGGCGCTGGCCCAAATCAAGGTGGAGCAGGTAAAGGTGGGGTCGAGAAGGAGGGGGGAGGGAACGAAGGGCGGAGGTGGAGGAGAGGGAACGGGAGGGAACCACAGGCTCCACCACAGGGGCGTCAGCACCAAACAACTTGGGTCCTGGAGGGGGCCCATAAACCCGGCGGGGGGGTGCGCAAAGTCGTCAGTCAAACCACGGACACGGTTTGCACTCTGCTCCTTGCTACGCTTTTCCCGCGCCTCTTTAACTTCGGCCTCAGTAGGCCTTGCACCCACAGCCAGAAGTCCACGGAACTACACTTTGGCCAGAGCAAGGTGTTTGTACAACCTCCTATTGGAGCAGGAGTCCCAACAACAAATTCGGCAAACCGTGCCCGTCGCCATCATTGAGTGGGTTCCCATTTGGGGGTGCTGCTTGCCCCTGTGTGCACGAAGTGCTCTGGCCATGCCGAAGGTCTGGCCGCACTCGTAGCAAATGAATGAATGCATTCATGCTTGCTCCTCCTCCTCCTCCTCCTCCTCCTTCTCCTCCTCCTCCTCCTCTTCCTCCTCTTCCTCCTCATCCTCCTCCTCCTCCTCCTCCTCCTCCGCCTCCTCCTCCTCCCCCCAAAAAATATCCTCCTCCAGACCGCCCAACTCTCAGAGATCCCTGGCTCATCCTCATCCGAGTTTGTCCTCAGCCTGCCTTCGTCACACACCGTTAGGCGGAGGCCGCGAGGGTGCCGAGCAAGGTAGGGGCCCGCCTTCGCCGCAGGGTCCCGGCCATATCGGGAGGAGCGAAGAGCACGAGCGACACGCGCGTCGTGTTTCAATATGCGTGTTGCTCGTTGGCCTTTTGAGGTCCGAGAGGATGGAGACGGAGGATCGCGCCGCATCGCCGATAAATTGGCGATGCTTCGGCGCCACGGTCCCGAAAACTGTTCGCGCACCAGACAGCATTGGTTTCGGGCGCTTAGCCTCTGCCCCCTCACCCCCCTCCTCGTCATCCCACAGTCATCATCATCATCATCATCATCATCATCATCATCATCATCATCATCATCATCATCATCATCATCATCGTCATCATCATCATCGTCATCATCGTCATCATCATCATCATCACATCATCATCATTGTTATCATCATTGTCAACATCATCACCATCATCAATATTATCATCATTGTCGTCATCATCATCATCATCATGATCATCATGATCATCATCATCATCATCATCATCATCACCATCGTCATCATCATCATCATCATCATCATCATCATCATCATCATCATCATCATCATCATCAGCATCACATCATCATCATCATCATCATCATCATCATCATCATCATCATCATCATCATCATCATCATCATCATCATCATCATCATCATCATCACCGTCACCACCATCACCATCACCATCACCATCACCATCACCATCACCATCACCATCACCATCACCATCACCATCACCATCACCATCACCATCACCATCACCAGCATCCCCTTGTACGTCCCCTTTTCTCCTCAACCTCATTTCCGTGTGGGCTTGCGCCCTCTGTCACCAGCTGGTGCTCGGCTCCAAGCTGGTGGAAGCGTGCGCAACTCCGTGCAAGGCTGTGGCGGGGCGCCCCGAGAGGCACCCTGCCGACGACATTCGAGGCACGCGATGGGGGGCAGGCGTGAGTGGGGGGTCAGAGGCTGCACGACTCCGTCTGCTTGCAGCTGTGGCCCCGCCACAGCCTTTTCTTTTGCTCTCGTTGCGTTTGCACAGCCACCGTCGACCCCCGCAATCTCGTCAGGGCTTGCCTGGGGGTGACGCGCGAGGGCCGCGAGAACCTGGCAAGGATCTGGAAGAGTCTGCCCCTGGGTCGGCGGACCTCGTCTGCGGTGGCGGCCTGCGACGAGGGCAGGGTGAGACGTGAGGAGGCCCTCCGGCGTCCCCCCTGGCTTGCTTTGGAGCTTTACGGGGGGGTTCTGGGCAGGCTCTCACCGACTTGTGGGCGTCAGGAAACTCCGAGGCTCCTTCCCGGGTGATGGTGGCGAGGGGGGAGGCAGATCCCCAGCGGCATATCATATCGGCGTTGCACGGGCGGGCCGGCGCTCGGCAGAGGCGGCTCCGTGCCCCTGTTGACGGGGCGCCTTGGATGATGCCCCCCCCGCTACAGGTCCGTGGGGGGTGGGGCAGGGCGAGGTCGGCCTCCTCTCAGGGAACAAGTCTGGGTCACGCCCAGGGGCGCGAAGGTAATCGCTTCGCGCATCGCGGCGTTGGTTGGAGAGCTACCACTCTCCAGGGTCCAGGGAGGCGTCGCGAGGGCGCGAAGAGACGGCAGGTTCGCGTCGTGTCGACTGGCGGCGACCCCGCCGCCGACGTTCAACGTTGAATGCCGCCGGCGACCCAGAATCGGTCGCTGTTGAACGATCTGATGTTTCGGAAACGGCCGATCGTTCAAGGTTGAACGATCCCCACAGTGTCCGGAACCAACGCCAGGGTCAACACGACACGAACCCGCGGCAAACGCGCGTCGCGCATCGCGGGGCGCGACGCGCAAAGTTTGGCGACCTTCGAGAAAGTCGCCTAAGGGGCGGAGGGCCCCAGGCGGCGCGACGGGCGGCCTGTCGAGTGGGGGCGTGGGGGCTTCGCTGGGGTGGAGTGGCATCGGCGATCCTCTTTCGACTCCGCGTGGGAGTGACCCTGGACCGGAGTGACCTTTGGTGCGCGGCCAGGCCTGGCGGGCTCAGATGCGAGCGCAGTCACGCGATGCGGGTGCCGACGCGAGGTCAAGCTCATACCAAAAGACAAGTCACCCGACCCTCCTGGGGCCAGCACCAAAGGTCACTCCAGCGAAGAAGGGTCACTCTTACATGTCGTCGCCTCCTTGCTTCTGCCCCCGGTGCTTGCCCAGACATTCGACGTCGTGGCTTTTTCACAGCGTGGCTCCCCAGCGGTCTGGGCCCCTTCCGCGAGGGGCGGTCGCTTTCTAACTGCGCGGGGACCTGGCAAGGGCACTCGAAGGCCGAGAGCGGCCTCAAACCTTCCGCCTCTGAGGGTCGACGTTGCGAAAACATTACGACGTCGGTGGGTCTGGGAAGGAGGAGGAGGAGGAGGAGGCTGAGGAGGAGGAGGAGGAGGAGGAGGAGGAGGAGGAGGAGGGCTGTCGTCGTGCTACGACGGGCCGGGCTCCTCCCTTCCCGCCGGGCACGCTGTCGCCTCGCAGGACAGGGACTCCCGGCTCCTCTGCCGGCTCCGCATGGGGTTGCCTATGGACTACGTCCAGATTGCCGACAGCGCACCCGAGGACGCGGTCGACGAGACGCTTCACCAGCTGGAGGAGAGGATCAAGAAAGTGAGTGTTTTTCCCAATCATCCTGTGGTATTGGGTCCTCGTTTTGAAGAGACAGCGCCCCGCGTCTCCTTCCTCTCCTCTTCTCCTCCCCCTCCTCCCTCCTCCGCCTCTGTGCCTCTGCCTTCCGCATGTTTCTACTTCGGCACACCCCTCACATGTTTCGTGGCCCCACAGGGAGCTCCACCGAACGCCCCAGTGGCAGGGTTCGCATAGCGACCCAGCCTCATTTCGGCACACCCCTCACACGTTTCGGGGCCCCATAGGGAGCTCCACCGAACGCCCCAGTGGCAGGGTTCACATGGCGGCCCCGCCCCATTTCGTCACACCTCTCACACGTTTCGTGGCCCCTATAGGGAGCTCCACCGAAGGGCCCAGTGGCAGGGTTCACATGGCGGCCCCGCCCTATTGCGGCACACCCCTGACACTTTTCTGGGCCCATGGGGGACTCCACCGAAGGGCCCAGTGGCAAGGTTCGCATGGCGGCCCCGTCGCATTTCGGCACGCCCCTCGCACGTTTCGTGGCCCCATAGGGAGCTCCTCTGCAGGCCTCAGCGGCAGGGTTCGCGTGGCGGCGGCGCCTCCATTTCGGCACACCCCTCACACGATTCGTGGCCCCGTAGGGATCTCCACCGAAGACCCCAGTGGAGGGTTCGCATACCTTCCTTTGCCTATATTGGCACACCCCTCACACGCTTCGTGGCCCATAGGGAGCAGTCCTGGCGACTTCAGGGGACCTCCCGTAATTGGCTGCCTCCGGGGACCTGCCGTAATTTGTTTGAATTACGGGAGGCCCCCAGAGGCTCCCAGAACCACTTTCTTGGTGGCATTTGGGGACCTCCCGTGGTTGGCTTTAATTACGGGAGGTCCCCAGAGGCTCCCAAAACCGCAGTCCTGGCGGCCTCTGGGGACCTTCCGTAATTGGTTTCAATTACGGGAGGTCGCAGCTGCATATGGTTGTGTCATTCGCCAGGCTAATATTTTCCTCCCCAGAGTAACGCTCGTTACCTGGGCCCCCCCCGCCCCCCATTCCTGGGGTAACGCTAGCAATCGTGATGGGGGGTGGGTGGGGGGACTGGACGCCCCCCTACATGCTGTGGTGCATGCAAGCGGTTGATGCGCCAGGGTGGCGCGGACGCACCCTGGCGGCTGCACGCCGCGGCCGCCGTTACAGTTACCCTCCCGCCCGAACGCCCCCCTCCCGCCCCCCCCCCTGGGTAACGACCGTTACCCGGGAAATGATACAATTATCACAAACGGCACAGGCACACTCCCAGCTGTTCCATAAGTCGGCCACGCGCAGAAAGGGGGTAGGGGGAGGAGGGGGGAAGGCTTCTTAGAAGTACTTCTGCCCTGCTTCTTAGAAGGCGCGGACCTCGTCTGTAGATGTAAGGCCGACGCATTCTAAGAAGCGGCCTCCTTCCAAGGAGCATTCCCCCCTCCCCCTACTCACCACCCACCAAACCACCCCAACCCAACCCGAAGGCTCAGATTTAGCCTCGATTTCTAGTGGGGGGGGTTCGGGAAACGTCGAAAAAACACGCGTGGAACCCTTACCCCCCCTCAACCCGACATTCGGGTCTTCGGGTTGGGTTGGGGTGGTCTGGTAGGTAGTCACCTACATCACTGCGCGCGCCGCCAAAGAAGCGTGGCGGCATGGAGCGCGTGGGGGGGGGGCTGTCCTCCTCGGAGGAGGGCCGATCGAGCCGAGCCGGCGGCCCAAACCCCGGCGCTTGTCCTGCTTTTGTTGCCCGGCCCTCCGGTTGGGTTCTCGCTTTTTGCACGGGGCATCTCGTGGGCGCGCCTCTCTCCTCCCGCCTCTCCCTGCTCCTCTCGTCCTCTCTCTCTCTCTCTGTCGAGAGAGTGGTCATGGGTAGGTGCTCCACTGCCCTGCTCGTGCTCATGCTCTTCTCGCTCTCCCACTTCCTGCCTGCCTCCTGCCCGCCTGCCTCCTGTCTTGTCCCCCGCGCCTCGCCGTCATGGGGTGGCTTGCGAAGTGTGGAACCGTCGCCGCTTCCGAGTGCTGCTGGGGTGGAGCCAGCGTAGTGGGTACCCAGCGCAGAGTCAGACTAGACCTCATCATCCCCGAAGGGGCTGCGAACTGCGAAGCAGTCGCCATTTTCGAGGGCTGCTGTGGAGGGGGCTAGGTAACCATCGCAGATTGAGATTCGACCTCGCCATTCCTGGGGGGTGGCTGCGAACTACCAAAATGTCGCCACTTTCGAGGGCTGCTGGGGCGAGCCAGCTTAAGTGGGTACCGAGCACAGACCCAGATTAGACCTCGCCATCCCTGCGGAGGCGAACTACGAAACCGTCGCCACGTTCGAGAGCCACCTTCGTACCCGCACGGCGCTGGCGCTTGCAGGCGCCACCTGCCTCGCCCCACCTCCCCCCGTTCCTTTGAGACCGAGGCCATCCGTCCTTCCTGCTTTTCTCTCTTTACCTCTTGGCTTTGTTGCGCCCTCCACCCAGCACCGACTGGGGGAGGTTGTCGAGGTCATCGGGGCGACCGGTCGACGCTGTCTGCGTCGCCGAGCCACGGGGGAGAAGGGCGGGCCGTCGGGCGGGGTGGCGTGGGGGGCGTGTCTCCTCGTACGGCTTCGGGTGATCATGCCTTCGGAGGTGTGCGCGGATTGCTTGGGTCGGCGCTGCGCGCCCTGGCGACGTACACCTTAGGCGATGCTTAAGAAAACGTAAGTTTTCGGCCAGAGTCTCGATTATTCTTAACGTTTCAATGTAAACCTTAAGATTTTAATAGAAATGTTGGGTTTTTGTTCAAGGTCTGAGACTATAAATTTCTTAACCCATGATTTCTTAAGCATTTCGCAGGGTGTACCCCAGCGCACTGCGCGCCGGGGGGGGGGGGGTCGAGCGCCGACCCGAGAAGTCGGCGCGGACCTCCGAAGGTCTTTGCACGTGCAGCCTCACAATTCTGGGCCGCCCGCAGGGGCGCGAAAAGTAACCGCGCTTCTCGCGTCGCGGCCTGGGCAGGATGGCCGCCCTTCTCGCGGGTGGCCTCGCGAGGGCGCGAAGGTGACCGCGCGCCGCATCGCGGGGCGCGATCCGCGAGGTCGGGTGGCCCGGCTCGCCTCAGGAGAGCATGACCAACTTCCTGGTGGTCAAGTTCACGAAGCCGGGCACCGTGGTCTGGTCCGCGCCGCTGTCCGGGGGTGCGTCGTGGAGGGCCGCCGGGGAGGTCCTCTTCGCGGTGCAGCTGAACGACGGCAGCGGGCAGGTGGTGGTGGTCAGGACTCGGGGGGCAGGGGCAACGCCCACGGGGGGGGCGGGGTGCATCGACCCCCGATTGCCCACTCGTCGTGGGCAGGGGCCCGATAGCCCACCCCGCCCAGGAGCGTGCGGCTTCGCCATCGAGGTCCTGTCGCCGATCTATCGGCGATGCATCGCCGATTCCAGCTCGATATATTCTCCCCTTATCGTTCCCCCTCACAGGACGCCCAACTTCGACATACGCTACCCGAACGAGACGTCCTGGGTCGTCAGGAAGACTCTCACCACCAGGTGAGGAGCAGGAGCACGGGAGAGTCGTCAGAGAGTATATTCGGGTTCTCGCAATTGGAGGTTGTGCCGTCCGTGGTGCCTGGACACGCACGCCCGGGAACAGGATAGGTCGCCGACAGTCATGTTTTGGCATTGCGGCTTAGTCACCAAAACAGCTTTCGTTCGTGCTGTCGCGCTAGGGATATGGACAGCGCCGTCTCGGATAGCCAGAGCTTGTTGCTGCTCCCCAGCTGGCCTGAAAATGTCGTTGGATCCATCGCGAAGCTGGTGGCCAGGCTCGTAGCATTGGTTAGCGGGGCTGGTTGACCATTGGTGTCGCAGTGTTGTTGCAGGTATTGTAAAATTTGCTTTTAGGATGCAGGGGAATGGAGGTTATCTGTGGGTGGTATGGTACGTTTCCAAGTGCAGTCGCGGGCATTTAAACAGAACCGTGCTGGCAGGAGGTGGAAGCGACGAGGAGGGGAATTGGGACGACGACGACGACGAGATCCTCCTCTCCTCGTCCTTCTCATTATCCTCCTCCTCCTTGTCCTCCTCCTCCTCCTCCTCCACCTCCTCCGCCTCCTCCCCCTACTACTCGCTATCCTCTCTCAGTTTCCCGCATCCTCCTCTCGCCTTCCTTATCATCGCTAATCCTCCCTTTTTCCATCCCCACTCCCCCTCGTCCGCCTCCCTTCCCTTTATCTTCCTCGTCCCCTCCATCTTCCTCGCGTCCGCCTCCCCCTGCCCGATGCGAGGTGGAGGTCAATGGAAGAGCAGCTCTACACGAATCTGAATGGGAACTCGGCACAGCGGATGGCTGCGAATCTATCGAAGTTACCAGCACTGCCCATGTTGGACGAGTCGGGCGCCGAATTCGCCCGGAAGTTGCGCAAGGCGCACGGTAAGACAGACGAGCTTCCCCCCGTACTTCTGCCATCAGCAGGATCAGATGCAGAAGAGGTGGCAGTCGATCGCCAGGCGTCCGCGAGAGAGGGATCAACGAGGGAAGGAGGTCTCTCCAGAGGTCTCAGCAGGTCAGGAGAGGAGGAGGAGGAGGATGAGGATGAGGAGGAGGACGAGGACGAGGAGGAGGAACGATTCGTGACTGTTGCGCAAGACCTGTGCGCTCGCAGCGTGTGTTTGCTACCGGGAGGTCTCTCCAGAGGTCTCCAGGAATCTCCGTGGGCCCTAGAGATCTCTCGAATGGAGGTCCTTGCAGACATCCAGCGGCCCCGAAAGGCACAACGGCGCCCCTAAACCTCGGATCCGAGATCCTCGAGGCGGCGGGGGAGGAGGAGGAGGAGGAGGAGGAGGAGGAGGAGGAGGAGGAGGAGGAGGACGAGGGCGCTGACGACGACCTCCCCCCTCCTCCCGCCCCCCTTTCCCCTCCCCCCCCGTTGAATCTCTAACCTCCTCTTCCTTCTCCCCCTGGAGGAGGACATCGATGACGAGGAGGCGGACGAGGGCGAGGACGGGGACGGGGACGAGAACGAAGCAGCGGACCACCGCGAGGCATCCATGTTCGCCCGCGGCGTCCAGCTGCCAGAGGTCGACACGGGGGACGGGTACAACAGGCCAGGGGGGGGGGATGGGGAGCGTTGCGCCCATCAGCGGAAGAGGATCAGGGATGGTGGGGCTCCAGGTTGCGCACAGCCCCCCGAGGTTAGAGCAGACGTATGACGGAGCAGGAGGGAGGGCGAGGAATTTGGAGCAAGAGTACGAGCAGGAGAGGCGCAGGAGAAGGATGGGGAGGATAAGGATGACGAGGAGGAAGAGCAAGAGAAGGAGGAGGAGGAGGAGGAGGAGGAGGAGGAGGAGTGTCAGGAGAGGAATGCATCAGTGGAAGTAGAATTTCCATGGGAACTGCGAGTCTGCCTGGCGCTGTTCCAGGACTTTATTTACCGCGGGACGGGACTTGTTAGGTGGGGGGGCGGGACTTGATCCCACCATGTTTTTGTTGATGGGCAGGGCTTGGCTTATCTTGATCTAGCCATGCAGTGTTCATTATACTCCTGGAGACGAATAAGTCCCACCCTACCCCAGCAGCGAATCTTCGCGAGGAGTCTAAAGGGGGTCGGGGGACTCGTCAGCATCATGATCATGTTGATGCTGATGGTGATGATCATCAACATGATGATCACCATCGCCATACCAGCATGGTGGCGTTGACCATCATGATCATCACCGTGATCATCACCATGGCACTGACAGTTTCTGATAACGTGGCCATGGACGCGATGACGATGTCCATGGCGGACACCCGCACTTCAACCATTATGGCCCAAATGCCAAACACGTGAACGCGCGTCACCTAACGCGCGCCCAATCCCGTCTGCCACGCGCGACGCTCATTTGAAAATCAAATGAACTTCCATTTCCACCACAGTATGAGGAAGGGAAAGATGCGCTCCCTTAGTCCGCGCACCCATGGTCACTCGTGCCTAGGGTCACTCTTGCGTATAGCCGATCAGATCCGTGCGTGTGGGGTGAAGTGAGGCCTAGCCGGACCCTCAACAAACCGACCCCTCCCGTGACTATTCCCTCGCATGGCCCCGAGGCGCGGGCAGGCGGCAAGAGGGGGCCTCGAGGGCGAGGGGCTCGTCGTGGAAAGGGGCTCGTCACGAAAGGGGTCACAGAAGGGGTCGGTTAGGCCGCGCCCGAGGCCGCCCTCCAGAGCCCAAGAGTGGCAGCAAACCAGCCGCCTCCGGTTTTTCAAGGCACCAGGTGTGTTGGACTCGGCGGGTACGGATCGGTTCTTGGCCTGATCATCAGGTGCGTTCTGGCAGGAGTTTCGAGGCGGATCCAGCCGTGTTGAGGAGTAGCCCCCTGAGAGGCGAAAAATGGGCGAACCACGTCCAGAAACCTGGAAGTTCGAGCCTTGAAAGGGGAGTCTTCCGAGTGGTAAGTGTTTCTCCCGCCCCGGATCCTGACCCTCAGAGTTCCTCCAGACCGTGGAGGGTCGAGGGCAAAACTTGGCACACGTCTGGAGGAGGACCAGCACCACACAGACATGCATTTTCGACATGGAAGCCCCTGGCGGCGCCTCCGGCGCCGCCCCTGGCGCGCTCCGCGCGCCAGGGAGGGGGGTCCAGCACCGATCCGAGAAATCCGCGCGGACCGTCGACAGCCTATGTTTCAGGAGGGGATAAAAGACACAGCCACAATGGGTCGCCGATTCCCAGGAAAATATGGGAAAATATGGGAATTGCGGGGGCATGCGAAAGTATAGGAAAATACGATAAATCCTGGGATTAGTGTCTATTTATTGCGAAGGCCTGACGGCCGGTGCCGCCGACCCTGTTCGCAATGCGCAGCAAGAGGCACGGGCTGTGGGATGGTTTTGGGGAACGGGGAGAAGGACGAGAAGGTGGGGGAGGGAGGTGTCGTATCTGACCCGGGACTTCCCCGGGACTCCCCCGGGACCCCCCCCGGGACCCCCTCTCCCTCCCCCGGCGGGGAAGGGAAAGGGAAGGGGCTTCCCTTCGACTCAATTACGACGTTGCTCAAGGTCGGTACGGGGGGGGGGCGTCGTATCTGACCTGGGGGGGGGGTCGCTACCGCCCCCCGCTACCCCCCCCTCGCCTCCCGGCGGGGGAGGGATCAAAGGGAAGGGGCTTCCCTTCGACTCAATTACGAGGTTGCTCAAGGTCGGCTTGGCTGGAGCCCAGGGGAAGAGGAGTCCCAGGGGGGGGCGTCGTATCTGACCCGGGGGGGGGGTCGCTACCCCCCCCCCCCTCCCGGCGGGGGAGGGATCAAAGGGAAGGGGCTTCCCTTCGACTCAATTACGAGGTTGCTCAAGGTCGGCTTGGCTGGAGCCCAGGGGAAGAGGAGTCCCAGGGGGGGGCGTCGTATCTGACCCGGGGGGGGGGTCGCTACCCCCCCCCCCCTCCCGGCGGGGGAGGGATCAAAGGGAAGGGGCTTCCCTTCGACTCAATTACGAGGTTGCTCAAGGTCGGCTTGGCTGGAGCCCAGGGGAAGAGGAGTCCCAGGGGGGGGCGTCGTATCTGACCCGGGGGGGGGGTCGCTACCCCCCCCCCCCCCCCCCTCCCGGCGGGGGAGGGATCAAAGGGAAGGGGCTTCCCTTCGACTCAATTACGAGGTTGCTCAAGGTCGGCTTGGCTGGAGCCCAGGGGAAGAGGAGTCCCAGGGGGGGGCGTCGTATCTGACCCGGGGGGGGTCGGTACTACCCCCCCCCCTCCCGGCGGGGGAGGGATCAAAGGGAAGGGGCTTCCCTTCGACTCAATTACGAGGTTGCTCAAGGTCGGCTTGGCTGGAGCCCAGGGGAAGAGGTCTCCCAGGGAAAGGGAAGGACAGAGACGACGAGTACAAAGAATGACGGAGATGACGGCTCGAACGGAAAAGCCCCTCACACACGCCGACAGGGTCGGCGGATTTGTGCGTCCCTGGGCCCCTTCAATGTTTACGTAGTGTTTTCTTCATCGAACATCCGAGGCCCATCTACGTCGAGAAGCACGCCTTCGTCTGCCGGATCCGCAAGCGCGAGGGGGGCGGCGTCTTTTGCCGGCGGCAGTCCAACAATTGGTGGCGAGCGGTGCTCGAGTCCTGCGGGGACCTGGGCAAGGACTCCTCCTGCTGCTCTTCCTCCTCCTCCTCCTCCTCCTCCTCCTCCTCCTGCTCCTCCTGCTCATGCCGCTGGCACTGCTCGAGCAATCCTCCGTGAATCGGGCGCTCCTGCTGGACCTCGCGAACGCCGTGATTGCGACGCTGGGGACGGTCGTGCTGCTGGCGGGCAACCGTTTCCCGAACCCGTCGTTGGTGATGCTCACGCCGCTGGAGATTCATTTGCAATCCTTCGTCATCTGTCAGAGCCCCGAATCATCAGGGGTAACTCGGGTCAGGGATAACTCTGGTTCCTTTTTCGGGAATCCGAACCCGACTTACCCCGGACCCGAGTTACCCCGGATAACTCGGGCGTCCAGAGCCCCAGAATCATCAGGGGTAATTCGGGTCAGGGCTAACTCGGGTTCCTTTCTCGGGAATCCAAACCCGAGTTACCCCGGACCCGAGTTATCCCGGATAACTCGGGCGCCCAAATCTGGGTGGCCCTGCTGGCTCTCATCCGCGGCCTGGATGTGTCGCTGGTGATGCTCATGCCGCTCGCGTCGCAGCTCAGCGTGAAGACGATGGTGACTCCGCTGAAGACCTCGATCCTGCTGGTGATGCTTACGCCGCTGGCGATCAGCAATTTCCTGACCCTGTCTCTGGTGATGCTCATGCCGCGGGAGCTCAAGAGTGGCACGCTGACGACCGTCAGGGTAATCGTGCTACTCAATCGGAAGCTCGCCACCACCCTGCGGGTGACGCCTCGCGTGCACGCTCTTGCGGACGCTTCCGGCGCCGACAACCATCTCTTTGAGACGAACTTGCCTCCTCTCCGCACGGCTACGGTGTCTTCCGCTCCCGCCACCCCGCTCGTCACGGTGAACATGCTGGAAGACACGCTCGCGGCATGGGCCAGAGAGCTGACTTTGATCAATGGCAAGTCTCTGCTGGCACTGTCGGAGAACATGCAAAAGCAGACACAGTACGCGAGCAGATGCAGCTGGTCACTAACTCAGTGAACAAGGACCTCGGATCCCTCGGCCTGCGGGTGGCGAAGAGGGAGAACATCCACCAACCCGCCAGCAAGGAGTTCGCGGATGAACATTCGGCCAACCGACCGATGCAAGAGAAATCGAACATGCACGACGCGTCTATGTTCACCAATGCCAAATTCGTCGAGTACTTCGACAGCCTGCGCACGAACATCCGCTCAGCTGAATGCGTGGACCTGTTCAACTCGCTCCTGGACTCCTATGCAGACTCCCTGGACTTCTTCCCAGCTGCCTCGTCTAACAAGAACTACGTGAGCGTCAGCTCTTCCCCGCGCGCCCTGAGCCAGGGCGCCGCGCGGCCGGGCTGCCGCTAGTAAGCTGAACGTTTCCGCCAGGTTACATTCGCTCCTCCTCCTCCTCCTCCTCCTCCTCCTCCTGGTCCTCCTCTTCCTATCCTCTGTTCTATTCCTCTTTATCCTCCTTCTCCTCCTCCTCGTCCTCGTCCTCCTCCTCATCCTCATCTTCATCATCAGCATCATCAGCATAAGCATAAGCATAATCATAAGCATAAGCATAAGCATAAGCAGCATCATCAGCATGATCAGCGTCGTCATCAGCATCACCATCATGATATAGCCTGTTTTGCAGCATTGGTGATACGTCTAAGAAGCACGTTGCAGCAGCTCGAAGCAAACGGAACAGGCGACAGACTTTAAATAAGGAGCCGATTGCTTGAAATCTGACTCCTGGGTTCTGGGGGGTAGGGGAGCAGCTCGACCCTTGAATGGTAGTGGAAACGGGGGGCATTCAGGAGATCAACACAAGTGCATCACTGTTAGATCATTTTTGTGCCCGCACTCACATAATATAGCCTGTTTTACAGCAGCGGTAGTACGTCTATGAAGAACGCTGCGACTGCTCTAAGCGAACGGAACAGGCGACATATCTCGAGTAAGGAATTGATGTCTTGAGACATGCTCCCGAATCGTCCCCCCAAATCGGATATTCTGTTTTTATTGGAAAGTTACTTATGTGGGCCGCGTGGCCCTGGCACTGGCTAAAAGGACACGTACTAGCGCTCTGCACAAGGAGGATAGTCTTGTGCGATGCGGGTCCACCTCGCCCCGATCGGGACGTGACCCTCGAGAGTGAAGTGTGAGACACCAGTTCGGGAGCATACCCGTTTCCTGCGGAAGCGGCAACGCAAACGATTGAGGTCGAGCTCCTGGAATTGTCCACGGAGAAAACAATTGTTTTTTCTATGTGGTCCCGAATTGACAGAACTTTGCAACAGCCTGTGCTGGGCGGGTGAAACGAAGGAAGGAAGGAGGAGGGGGAGGAGGGAGGAGGGGTGGGAGGAGGGAGGAGGGGGAGGGGGAAGGAGTGAGGAACGCGGGGCGCTGTCTTTTCAAAACGAAGACCGAACACCACAGGATGGTTGGGAAATACGAGGCGTGCGGATTCTCTCTGAACCAGGGCACCCGGCAACGCTGACACTCACGAGCACTGCGAAACCCTCATCAGGCGATTACCAAGATTTACCTGGGATTGGTCAGTTTTGCAAAAGCCTGAGACCCCCATCGGAAAAGGCAAGAGTTCGCAGCGTGCGAGTCCGATGCTTCACAATATTAGATCTGGCGCAAGGAGGACCCATGGTCACTGCAATAATTCTACCTGAGCGGAGGTCGGCGATCAGCCCATGCAGTACCTCGGGTCTCAGAACGTCCCCTCTGTTCCCGTTCCCGAGGTCGAAGTAGTGCACGGGAAATCCACTCAGCTCTGCCGCGCGGCCACAGCCGCCCTTCCCGCAGAACACGTCTGCGAAGTAGCGGCCCTCTCGAACAAGATGCCCCCACGGCCCCCAGGCACCGGCATGGTTCGCCCGTGCATCAAGATGCCCTCGAGCCCACTCTCGCAGTCGGCCGCGTGGTGCAGCAGCCATTGAGGGTGGAGCGACGCCGAGTGGCTTGACCGTGCATCTTTCTCGTACCTCACCACCGATTTGTCCGTGCGCCAGTTTCTGCGTCGCGTCACCTCGGCCAGGCTCCGCTCGTTGGTGGCCTGGTCGATGCTGGCGCCCGAGTGGCGCGTCTGGTATGGCACCAGCCCCTTCAGCCCAGGATCATCGCCGCCTCTCGGACCTTCGTCACGTACTGGCTGTAATTGAAGTCCCGCACGCTGAAGCCTGCCCGACGGAATCGCAACTCCTCCAGCAACGGGCCGCACCACTGGCAGATCGGACTCGCCCATCTTGCTCGGGCGGTGCAGCTCATCGGGGTTGATGAGCAGCGTCCAGCGCCGATTCCCGTGTCGATGCGGCCGTTGGAGATGCTCGGGCATCAGGTTCAACAGCTGGGCCGGCCGCGAGTAGGTGCAGAGACTCACCTTCACGAACAGCGCCATCTGCGGTTGGCCCAGCAGCACCAGGCAGTTGCACAGGGCGCACCAGATACAGAGCGGCTCTGGCCTTCGCGACCGGGGCGGGCAGAGTCGTCTCCACTCTCGCACCCTCCTCCAGGATCGAGGCAGCCTGCGATCCCCAGAGCGGCTGTAGGCCGGGACCAGATGCAGCAGGCCCGCGATAATCTTCATCCCTGTGTTCGTCTGCTCGCCCTGGAAGCTCAGCGCCTCGAAGTAGCTGGCGAGCTTGCCGTCGAGGTCGGCAGCGTCGACACCGTTGGAGCGCTCCGCTCCGACCTCCGCGCCGAGCCTCCGAGCCCTCGACCTCCGTCGGGTAGGCGACGGCCACCGCGCGGTCACCGCGCGGCCCTCCGGCAAGGTAACTAACTCCCTTCTCCCGGGAGGTCCGGCACTCCGTCGGAGCCCGGCCCCGCCGCTCGGAGGTCCCGCTCGAGGCCGCGATGGCGTGGGTCGGCTGCCCACCGCCTCTGTCGGCCGCAGCGCCGGTGCTCTCCAGGTTGACGGCGCCCACCGCCGCCTGCGCCTACGGCGCCAGGTGCGACGGCGTCGGCGCAAGGCTAGGGCCGCCGAGCCCCAGCGCGCGCCGCCAGGCCGGCTGCGCCTCGCGCCGGGCCACCGAGGGAGCCAACGCCCTCCGCAGGCCCGGAGGCCGCCGCAGCCGCCATCCCGGCATCCTGGGCCGCTGGTGTCGTCGCGGGCGCTGCGTGGGGGGGGGTCATAAATGGGGGGGTGGCGAGGGTGGCCCGAAAAGGTACCCAAACGGTACCTAAACGAGCCCCCTGGGGCTCTGGAGGGGCCCGAAAGGGGCACGAAATGGGACCGTTTCTGACCCCCCCATTTATGACCCCCCCGTTAAGCCACGCCCAAATCCCGGCATCCTGGGCCGCCGGTGTCGTCGCGGGCGCTGAGGCCCGCCCGCCCTGCCGGCGGCGAGGGGCCTGCGAACAGCCGCGGGTTGAGCCGAAGCGGTTACGATATGTGGCTCGGCGGCGAGCCAAGGGGGGAGGGAGGGGGGAGGGGCGGGCCTTCTCAGAGGGCTCGGGAGTCCCCCGGCCTGCTGAGAGGTTTTCGAGGCCTTCAACGAAGACACAGAACACTTTCCAGAAGGCGCGAGGGCTTCTGAGAAGTCCCGCCGCCTTCTGAGAGGGCCTTCTCCTTCTCACTTCCCCCCCCGCTCGCTGTCGAGTGGCGAGATGGGCACAGGTGGCTCTGCTTATGTCCAAGACTCGGTTCAGACAGACTGATGTGAAGAACTCTGAAAATTCATTCCCTCTGCCAGGATCAGCTGCATCCCCAACCCCAGAGCCCTTCTCAAAAGATCGGCCCTCCTCCAGGTGACGGGTGACTAGGAAAAGAATCGCAGATACGCCTCGGCTCGTCCGAATAATTGTTGAGCTCACTAGGAACCAAGCGCACAGTGGCTTTTTTATTTAATCGCTTCGCTCGTTCCTCCGGCCCTCGAGCGCTCTATGGGGCCTCTTAGAAGCCTCTTCGGGGCCTCTTTGGGGCCTCCTAGGGGTCTCTTGGGGGCCTCTTGGGGGTCTCTTGGGGCTCCTCAGCGGCGTCTTGGGGCCCCCTTGGGCCTCTTGGGGGGCTCTTGGGGGCC